CTTCTGTCAAATGAACTCCAGAAATTATGAATGTAGGAGTCATCTGCTCTAGGATGATGGCCAACCAAAACAAGGATGTGCCTGCTCCCGTGCGTAGGAGACAGCCTTCGCCATGGACTGGGCTTTTCCAAAAAATGACAGTTAATGTTCAGAGACACAGTAATACAAGAGTGTTTCATCCAAGATGCATGGGGCACATGTACAGTTTGCACACAGTCGGTTTGTTTCTTGCCGTTTCTGTCAATTTCCCATTATTAGAATTGCAGAATAAGGCAAAGCTTTTGCCGGCGCTTCAAAATCATACATATATTCATGCTCAAAAAAAAATCGTACATATATTCAAATACATGAACAAATAGTTTGGACAATAGCCACCGAGAATGCTATTTCTTGCATTAAGCGAGACTGTAGGAACTCCCGCTGTGAGCTTCAACGGTAATGAGTTGACCCACTCGCGCACACTTCAAAACAAAATAGTGAAAAAGGAGAGAGTCACGCGGGATTCGAACCGTATTCTCCACCATTACTAGGGAAAACCCTAGTAGTAGTGCAGAGTTTTTGCCTAGCAGTAGCGCGGGCAGTAGTAGCACTGGCCGAACCGATGCTAGTGCTAACTAAATTAGTAGTAGCGTGCTTCTGTCCAGTACTTGCGAGGGGGTTAATCATAATTAGGATGTTTGTTCAAGTAAGAACAACACCTAAGCACCGATCCACCCACATATCAAATTATCAAAGTAGCGAACACGAATTAAGCCAACATGATGAAAGTGATATGATGAAATTCCCATGTACCCTCAGGAACACTTGCCTTTTATAAGATACCGTTTTGACGTGTCCTTTGACTCAAAAGGATTGTGTTACCTTGCTGCACTTTTGTTACTGTTACCGTTACTTGCCTTTTACAAATGATCTTGCTATTAAACAACATGTTACCCACTATTTTCAGTGCTTGCAGACATTACCTTGCCGAAAACCACTTGTCATTTTCTTCTACTCCTTGTTAGGTTCGACACTCTTACTTATCGAAAGGACTACGATTGATCCCCTATACTTGTGGGTCATCAAGGCATACATGCCGTCCGAGGAGAACCTTCTTTGTGAGTATTAGAGGGACATTGGGCAAGACCCCAAGGTCGGCGCCTCCTGCCCCTTTTTGTTTGCTGGCATGTGTGCCGTGAGCCAGCATGAACTGTGCGATGGTTTTTTTAAGCCTGGCGTGGTGCCGGCACGATCTTTGGGCGACAGCGTGGCCGCTGTCATTTTTCAAATTTGTGCACGGACATGAAATCGGTCGCGGGCGTTGGGCGCACGGCCAACCCAAAAAAAAACAGGGTGGAAGCCGAGCGGGTGGCCGACCCAAACGGACGAAAAGTGAACAAAATTTTCGTCCTTTTGGATCGGCACGTTGGAGTTGCTGTAAAGAATGAAAGATTGATTGGACATTGCCTTCATACTGTCTGAAGAGCCCTTTGCTTCAGGCAGCGTTTTTGCTTCTTTACCGAACAATGAAGCACTGGCAAAACAATGAATTGTTTTGCTTTCCTAAGATAAATTTTACAGCCTTGCAGGTTTCCGTGGTAATTTGTGCAGATATCAACAAGATACTGCCATTAACTACGTGCCACATAAAGAAAATTATCTTGCAATGTATTATGTTACTTGCATAAGTTACATCCTGCCAAGACTACCCATAGTTGAAGTAATATATATAGTAACATCAATGCCACCTAAGCAAAAATAATTATGTGGCAGCTAATTAATGAGGAGAGAGACAAATTGAGTGACATACTCCCTCCGTTCGGGTTCATTAGGCCTAAAACAACTTCTCTTGGACCAAGACACATAGTATTTTACTCGCATTAATTCTTTCATTTCACTTCCAATGCACTCTCTCGCATGCATGCAGCCAATGAAAAAGCACGCATGAAGTGTATTAATTTGCCAGCCATGGCATCCACAACAATGGCTTTCAATGCAACAAATGAAATGGTTGCATGCATGCACCTTTTCAAAGCGAGGCCTTATAAAAAGGGACATGCATGCTTGTGATGTTGAGATGCCTAATAAACCCGGACGGGAGGAGTAGCTAGTTACTTATATTATGAGTAACATCACATATACTAGTACAAGATGAGTCTATAAGCTAATAAATAAAGACCACTATGTTACAACCTCTATGTTACTATCCCTTATGGAGGTAGTAATTTAGACTAGTAACATATGGATATTACTACTCTATGTTACTCCCATTATGGGTAGTCTAAGAGCAAGTCCAATAGTGGGCATATAGCCTGCTTACATGGCAATCTTGCCTATGTGGAGGAGAGAGACATGAAAAAAAATAAAGAGAGCGACCTCTCATGCAAGAGTATGGCTATATGCGTGCTCCAAGGCAGATGCAATAAATGTAAGAAAAGAGATAGACCGAAAAAAATACTAATCTTATAGTCAACCTTATAACCGACCTTATTGTATGAGTGACTATATGTGTTGGCTATAAATGATATGGCACCACCTTATTGCCAGCAGCAGGGCCGGGCCCATAGTGGTACAAAAAGTGCGGCCCGCACAGGGCC